GCTTTAATAGCAAAACATGCAGGTCAGGTTAACTGGGGATATTCCAATAAATGGTGTGTCACTGTAAGGCATCAAATTTCAAAGCCAAAATCCTTTTGTAGGAGTTAAAAAAAACTCCTGATTTTAACAATGCTGGAAATAAATGAGGTCTTGGCCTGCACTGGTGTCCAGCAGCACAGTAGTCAGGTAGCTCATGCAAGAAATACAGGAGCCTGCTGTTCAGATCTCTGTGCCAGATTTAACCAGGCACACAAGTACTTGTGTTTTCCATCCTTACCTAAGGCACCAGCCATCAGGCAGTGCCCTGCTCCAGAGCTGTGTGCTACTGCTCCTGGTCAAACTGGTTCACTGTACATAAATAAATAACCATTGAAAACTGGTCTTCTATGAACTACAGGAAAGCATTTACTATTAGAGGTGGTGGTTTTGAGAGGTTTCTTCCATACCAATATCTGACAAGAAGTTTGTTTGATAGCCAAAATTTTCTTTTGTGGAATGAGGAAAGTTTTCTTCATTGTATTGCAGTGAAACAGATAGAAAGGCTTAAAAAATGAAAAATGAAAATGCAGGAAATTACTTCCAAACCTTGAGCCTTAAGCCTTAAAATCCAAAGAGCTGAATCCTTGTCCCCTCCATGAAGCTCCCTAATTTCACTGTGGATTAACAAAGGTTTGGTTTTCTTCAGAGCCAGAGCCTTGATAGTACTTTAGTTCTTTGTTGATGTACATTGCTTTTGCTGCATTAACTTCAAAAATATTTGCACCAGGTGAAGATCTGACTGATGGTCAGTGCAATCTAGCTATAGACCATACTCAGTTAAGAACAAGAAAAAAATGGTTTTCCTTCTAAATTGCGTTTTACAGTGTGAACATCAGCATTATTTACCTGGATCTAACAAATTAACTGGAGATTAAACCTTTTTATTTAATTCTTTCAGCTTCTGCTTTCATAAGTGAACGTAGGGATTTTATTAGCATTATTTAAAACAAAAAAAAAATTATTATAAAGCCTGGAAGAATTAAATAAAAATGTTATGCAGTTGTTATGCACCACAAGAAGAAAAGAATCTCTGAAATTTACTCTGAAATTAGAGACTTTAATCTGCATAATTTATACACTGAGTATTCATTAAAAGGACTACAATTGAAACTCACCTGTCATCAAAAGTAAAAGGATGGAAACAATAGCTAAGACTGAGGCAGGGAAATGGTATTATGGATGTTATTTCCTAAATATTTGCTAAGGAATGGTTTCTACCCGTTACTGAGGAAATTAAGGGAAAGTGACAAAGCAACAATAATTTCCAAGTAATAGTTCTTTTTTCTTTTCATTATCTGAGCTGTCTGCCCTCAGATCTGCTGCATTGTTCAGATTTAAAAACATTTCCTGCTGTAATAGACAAGGCAGGGACTGTCCAGGCAGGCAGGGAGGAGAGCTGGGCTCCTGCAGGGCAGCTCCCCCCGCGCTGGGCTCTGCTGCCTCCAGCCCTGAGCAGCGCCCTGGCTGTGCCCAGCTGGGCAAGGCTCCGAGCTGGGCTCCATTAAACCACTCAAAACTCGGATATCATTTTCAAATAATAAAATGGACTTCCTCCATTCTGCTTACTTTTATTTTCCCTGCCTCCTAACCACCCAGAGGGATTAGATTGTTTTTTCTTGCCTTTGGAAATGCTTTTGGCTCCTCAGGGTTTTTTCTCTTTGCCCTGCTCCTGGCAGAGGTTATCCTAGGAGTGCCTGTTTTATCTCCTGAAGGGATCTCATTGCTAAACAAGAGTCCTGGGCAGGATTTACACCCTTCCTCTGGAAACACCAGAAGCTTGTGTCAATTTCTGCTCTTTCATATTCCTGTCAGCTTGTCAGGGACTATCATTCATAAAAAATTTAACAGAGGAAACCTGACAGGATTGGCCTCTTGGTGCTACAACAAAATAAATATTTAATAATGACACGATGATACATTTACCCTAAACAGCTGACATTCTGTACTTCAGCACAATGGGCTAATAGTTCTCTTTATAACTATGCTCCCAGTAAAGTATTCATGCAACAAGTGGATGGACCGAGGCCCTGTGAACAATACAGAGACAACATCTTATGACTGAAGTGGCAGAAATCCTCAGTGATTCATAAAATATGACTTTTTGTGGATTCTGAATTTCAGCGCTCTTGGCCCACAATTTTTAGGTATGTGTCCTGAGGTGATTCCCTAAACCAGGACAGTATGTTTACCCACATCCACTGTTCATCCAAGGGTGTGCCATCCACTTGCTGGAACTACTACATCATATCTCCAGACCTTGCAGAGATTTCAAATGCTTGTTCCAGATGTGTTATTAACAGTTTAGTGACAGCTGTAGCCATACTCTTCAATAAATTTGGTTTTTAATTCTGAATTCTAAATTTTGAAATATTGTGCTGTTACTACTGAAGTCCATGAATTTTTCCTCTGACAGCTTGGGTCACTTTGTGGAACAACAAATGATCAAACTTTATCACCCTTTCTCTTCCATTTATTCACTTTTTCACATATATAAAGTAATGTGGGACATTTTGACTTGAGGGAGAACCAAGGTATTTTTGCCTTTAAAAATTTTTGTACATTTTTGATGTACCTATCTAATTAGTTTCCTCAAGTCTTCCAAAGTACTTCTTGAACATTGCCATTTGAAACTGGTAATGGTTTATAACTGGAAAATTATTTAAAAATAGTTTTCTTCTCCTGGCTCTTTCCTCTGTATATGAAATGATGTAAATAACAAAGGCTAGCCAACATTTTAACAGTCTGATCAAATTTGCTGCTTCTTCACTACTTGTACTTGTACTTCTTTGTTCAATAACTCATGACACCACACAGACCGACCAGTTTGAGGTAGGTTAGAGCACAGCAGTAATTTATTGAATTAAATACAGCTCTTCTCTACATCCATGACTGAAAAATCTGTGTCCCTCAGTCAAGTGGGGGTGAAGGCCAGGCAGTGTGTGCAGTCACAGAATGTTTTCCATCCCACCTGTGGTGACACTGGACTGGTTCAACCTGAAAAAAGCAGATTGTACAGAGTATGGGTAGGTTGATAGACCTGACACAAGACCTGCTACATTCTCCCTCTAAGCTACTTTCACATCTGGGGCCTCCAGGCTGAATCTTCAGCTAGCACTGCATCTAATATATGTGCAAACATAAGGAATCTTTCCCTGCCTTTCTTTTCAACTTACAGAAATATTCTAATTAGTTATTTCAGGTGGAAGAAGGGAAAGGAATTTGAAGCAGGGCAAGTGTGCGACTGTTGATTTTGCAGTAGTTCTGTCAAAAAAATATATTCTACTTTTAATGCACACCATTTGGAAAGCAAAGCCCCTTTTAAAATGCTTCAGAACTCATGTCCTTTTTAATTGCCTGGAATTCATGGTGGCTGTGTGAGAAAGCCATAAACATATACAATCATAAAAACACATTTAGACAACCCAAACAGAATCAGTGCCATATTATTTTAGTTTATTATTCCTAGTGGAGTACAGATTGGTCTTCCTACTTTGATATTTATTTATACCAAGGAACTACAAGAACATAAATGCCACTCTTGGGATAATCCAAATGCTGGGGCCAAACAGAGTACACATTGCATCTGTCTCATTTGCAGTAAAATGAAGGAGTGTTTAGGTGTAATCCTGCTAATGAAGGACAAAGTTGAAGGTCAAATGTAGCCTTCAGAATGAATGTGTCACTGTGAAGCTGAGAGAACTGTAATTCTATGTTAAAACTTTTTCTTAAAATATCAAATATCTAAGATGCAAAAAAAGAAAATGTGGTTCTTTGGTTTCATTATTCTCTTTTCTTTGAAGCCATCAAGGATTGTGTTCAAGATTTTAGTGCTCATATGAAAAATTAATGATGGGTTTTTGCTAGACAGAAAGCCTTTTTATTTTGCACATGATTAACAAAGAAAACTCAATGCAAAAGTGAGATGCTCAGCAGGGGGTGGTTCTCTCAGAGTCCTGCTCACAGCTTCATACCATAACATTTATTGACATGGGAAAATACCCTCTTTTATCCAAAGACAGTTAAACACACAGGATATGTGCAGGGTGTACGTACTGAATAACAAGGAGCAGATTCTCCACAAAGGAAAATGTCAACCAAAATAAACAAACAGCCTAGCAGCAGGCTGGCCCTGCACTGCCTCTAGGCTGCTTCAAGTCTACTGCAGAGCCAAGTGCAATGTTAGTCTTTTGCTAGTTATAGTCAGGAAGTAGATTATCGGCTGAAAGGCTGCAGGGTGACTTCAGACAGCCTGCCTGCAGCAGAAGAAAAGCCAACGAGTGGGCAGTAGAGAATATAAACCAGAGCTGCACTCTGCTCACAGGCTGGTTTGATTCCGTGTTCCTCACCTAGAGAGATCTCATTTGGGAGGGTCTGGGTACTTTTCCCACAGGTCTTTTCCCACAATGTAAAATCACAGAGTAAGCTCACATGAGCTTGTGCATCCCGCTTTAACCCTGTCATCTCTCTGCCCACCCCTCAGTTTTTATAACTTCTTGTTTTTTTGATCTAGTCAGCCAACTCTGTGCATTTTCTGGGATTCAGAAGGGCCATCTGCTACCCACACATTTAAAAAGAAAGCCACACAAAAAAGGTATAACTTTTACAAATTATAATGGAATTATAATGAGCCTTACTTACTTTAAGCTTAAGAAAAGACAAACATCTGTTACTAGTATGTATTTATGATTTGTCCCTAAATACAGGCGGATTTTTAAAATATCTGTTAAATACAGCAGTACACCGCAGAGAGCTGAGTGGGCTTATAAATCTCAGCCCAGACTTGCGGTTTTGGTGTCAAACAAGAATGAAGCAAATCACTCTGGACAAACTGGACCAGAAAACTTTCTTTTCTTGTTATTCTAAAAAATGGAGAATGGCATTTACTCCCCTTCTCCTCCCATCCTCCCCTCTCTCCCACGCACAATATACCATTATGGACTACAAGCTCTACTTGCATGTAGGTTCCAAGAGGATTTTTGAAAACACTATGCACAAGAACTCACTAAAGATACAGAAGTGTCAAACAACAGAAGTCTTTCATGTAGAAACTTGTTTTCCTTAAAACCACATGTCCATAAGCAGCAAGGATGAAGGTGTCCCATGCAAGCTGAAGTGATTCTTGCTTTTGAGGTAAGGAAACCTAAAGAATGCTTAAGTTGGTAAGAACTGGCCTTGTGCAGGAGGACACAAGGCAGAGTGTCTAAGTTATATTTCTCAGTGATAAGGAATCAGTTACACTACATAGAAAAAGCCAAAGCCACAAATATAGCACCTAATAATGGTAGCTATGAGCCTTTCCAAAATATTTCATTTTTCTGATTTAGTTCAAATTTGTTTGCTTGAACACTTCTTTTGAAGTTATCTACAGTAGTGGCACTGAGGTGTAGTGACTGGTGTACAATTATAGAACCAGGTTGGCAGGATGATTGAACTGGCTAACTGCCATTTTCACACCAACTGGTTTTTTTCTTGTGGATTTTTTAGATCAGATCCCTGCAGGAACAGATTGAGTGAAGTTTTTATATTGTTATTATGGCTGTTTTTATATTGCAGTAATGATTTTTTGATATTTGATAATAAAGCCTTGAGATAATAGCAGTGGAAGCCTCAGCGTAGCTTTCATAATCTATTGATTTTGTGGCTTTTTTTCAGGGTGAATTTTTTTCTTTGCTATCATTGGTTGTTTGGGTTTTTTTAATTATTTTGTGGGGATTTCTCTCCGTGCTTTTTCCTACCCTATAGTGCTGCTACATATGAAGTATATACAAACAATGTGCTTATTTCCTCCTGTCAAGTGCTACTAACCAAGTACAAATACAGCCCAAGTTTTGTCCTGCATCACTAAACTCATTGATAGCTTTACTTCAGCTACATAAAAAGCTGGATTAGACACTATCCACTATCTGAGAATTTCTGAGTGATTTATACCATGCAATTATATTCCGGTCTCTAACTCAAAATTTAGACAGACAGTAGGTTTTAGGAATGACTATAATTTATATCCCTAAATTATAATCTCTCTAGAACAGGAATGGTATCACTGTGTGTAATCTGAAAAACACTCTGATAATTTTGGCAGGCAAGGCAGAATTTGATGACAGGTTTGTAATTACCACTGTGAAGCATAGAACTAGAGATGTGCCTGTGAGGGAGAGGTGCTCTGTGCTCCAGGAGCCTCCCACTCCTGGGAGCAGCTGGATCCACAGTTACACCCTCGCCAGCCAAGAAGCTGTTCCTGCCCTGCCTTGTCCAAATTTAGCCTCATGCTGGTGAGTGGCCAGCCCTGGTTTGTCCATCGCTGCTGCCAAGCAGATGGAACTGGCTGAGTTTTCCTCACCTTTGCTCAGCAAGAGCTTTAATTTGTGTCTCTTCTGCTCCCCAGCCAAAAGTGGCCATGAAGTCTTACAGGCATGTATTTACTCTTACAAAGCCTTTTTTACTCTGACTGAGGTTTACTGACAGGCTCAAAAGTTCCTGTAAGGCAATATGACAGAAAAATAAGAACAGACAGACAGACAGTAATGGCATGACCCTCATTTCCTTAGGAAACTAGGCTAAAAATGAAAATGTGACCTCAGACCCTTTGCTGAGGGCTTCCCCTTTGAAAGTCAGGATGAGAAAAATATATCCTGGATCAGAGGGGACATATGGAGATTACTGTAGTCTTGTGTCTATATTAAAGGAGTCAAGAAAATAAACTAATTGTGAATAACTTTTAAGTCTTCCCAAATCATGATTACTATTAAAAATATTAAAAACAATATTGTATTTACTTTTCAAAGGAAAAAAATGGTGTCACGGTTACAGTTACAACCAGAGAGGGATACTTTGGATACAGAATGCAGAGGATTCCCCTGCCCAAGGGACAGACTGAGGCAGGGATTCTGTCCCACACTGGGCTGAAACCATGCAGGTAAAAACAACTGAGAAAACAGGCTGGAGTCACTGTCCCCTCCCGAGGTGAGGGATGCACACAGCAGAGAGGGGTCCCATTTTTGCCCCAAGGAACAGAAGGGGTGTAGAGTGAGCTCAGGAGAGGGAATCTCCGTGACCTTCCCAGGCTCCCCTCACCTACACATTGTAGTAGCTCACAGGCAATTTGTAGCCATTTAGGTGGGTGTTCTGTGTCTGCATGACTGGACTTTAAAGCTCAATCCAGTACTGACCTTGAGAGAACCTCTCAGATGTGCTGGCAATGGAGTAGTTGACGCATTTCCACACAAAGCACTAAACCCTTACATATTGGAAAAGTCATTCAGACTGTTAGGACTTGCATGGAAAAATACAAATATTTCATAAGGACAAGTGGGCAGATTATTCTCAGGGTATTGATTCCACATATTGGTCTGCTGAAAACCTGCTGCTAAATAGACCTCCCTACTGGAGAGGCTGAGCGAGGTGGCCGTTTCAGAGGCTCTGGGGGTTTATTGATTGCACATAATCATGAAATAGCACAGATTGAGCATGTTGTTGCCACTACCATTTGCATAAAAAGGTAACGCTTCAGTGTTGGGAAGCCAGAACACTTCAGAACATTAAAAGCAGCTGTCCCTTACCACATCCAGCAGGGCAGCAAGTCCCTCAGGCTTCTCATTTTCCAGCGCCTAGGGAACCGGGACAACACACACATAAAATTGTCTGTATTGTTGTCTATAACAAGTAAGTTAGTAAATATATTTGCCATACTAGAAAGATACTGAAAATGAAACTCATATCTCCAGCAAACCTACAGAGCAATGTTTTCTCTCTTACTGGAAAACAGCATCACTTAGGGAATTTGAAATGGATTATTGGTTTTCTATTTGATTCTTGTCATCAGTTGAAGTTAATTCAATTAATTTCAACCAAATTCAGGTAAACTCTTCTTCCTCCTGACATGCTAGTTTTGTCAACTGCAGTTCTCAGTTCTTCACAGATGGGATTCAACAAGGGATCTCAAGCAGCAGCAGGCCCATGAAGTACTTTAGCAAATAGGGTCCTGAAACACGGTGGACCCTTAAATGCCAGTTTGGCCTGCTGAGAGAGCAGTGAATTCACTCCATATCTGATGAGAGGATTCAAATCATCAGTTCAGTGGGAGAATCTTTCTGTTGTGGGGATGAAAAGCTCAGGGGACCTCACTCATGCTCAGTGGTCTTGTAATTAAATGTTATACACTTGATGAGCATTGCATTGCAAGCCTCAAGGCTAATTTACATGTTACCACCAAAATGTCTTATTTTATTTTGCTTGTAAAAATGCTACACAGGCATCATTGCATGTCATTGCAAATGGTTTCTATCAATGATGCTTGGGTGACTCTCAAAATTACTAAAAGCTGTACATAATTACTGCTAAAAAGCCCTGCACTGAACCAATAATGCTTCCTCTACAATAGCTATTTTATGACTAAGAAGGCTTTCCTGATGTGACTGACAGTGTTAGGATAAACAAGCAGCCTGCCAGCAAATAAAGAATAGCTTTTTGGGGAAACAAAGTAGTTTGATTCAATTATAGTATTACATGTATCATTAAAGTGTGTCACTTTTCTGAGAGCTGCCCATAATTCACAACAGAAAGGCAGCGTTGGAGAAAAGAGAGAAAAATTAAAGTAATATAAGGTATTTACTGGCACATTTAAATGCTTTATGTTGTAAAAGTTGCTTTTAGTGGTCTGGGACACATGACTCATGTCACTCTTGAGACAAGTAAAAAGAGCAGAAGATGGTCAAGGCTCTGGGACCCATTTAGCACATATGCCTTTATTAGTTTCGTGTTCTGAGGAGGTTATTCCACAAATAGCATTTCCATGCAGGTATATCAAATGGACTTAAATACCTTTTCTTTTAATTCTCTCTTTATTTAATACTCTTTGCTACTGACTTCAAAGCAATGCTAGAGCACTGCAACACCATTTATTGGAATATATTAATAATAATAAATTACAGTTTAATTCACTGTATTCCAGCTCTTAGAAGAACAAACAACCTTCTGCAGATGCAGAAGAAAGGCAGAGAAATATTAGATGACTTACCCACAGTCTGTAGCAGGTGAGTGAAAGAATTAGATATAGAACCTCTGGCCTTTCCTCCAAATAATCTTGCCTGTGTTTTTGCCACACTAAAATGATTTTGCATATGTCCTGTCTCAAAATATGAAAAATATATGCAATATGCAAAGCAGCCAATTGGACTGCCTTTTGGAATATATCATCATTTATGAACAGTGTGTCTTGAAACCTAAACAGATTGTGTGCAATTAATTGCACACTGTCAAAGAGACTACAGCACTTTACTGCCAATTTGTAAATAAACCCTAGTTTGCAAAAGGACTGAGGCAAGTGAGGTGAGTTTCTGTGAATAAAGGGAAGGCAATGCACAAATGCAATGCAACACAATTTTTACACTTCAGCCTTTAAGAATTTTGCTGACCCTGGAAGAAAATGGTAAGGTGCAGAGTCATTCAATACAGCCAGGTTTCTCTGTAGGTAGATATTTTACATAACCTAAACAAAGAACTCCCAGCTTACTTGAGATGCAAAAATAATAAAGAAGTTATGTACGAAAGGAAAAATGTACTTTTAATTAAAATTTTAGAAAATACATGTGCATTTTTTACCTTAAAGATGTGCTGAACAATGGTGAATGATGATGTGCAAACAAAGCAGATTCCCTTTATGTCCTGATTATGACCCTGAAATGATCTTTGTTATAAATATGCTCATGCTGGTAGCTGGCCAATACCTGACTGGATTCCTTATCCAGTGCTGTCTCTCTCCCTTTGTATCACTGCTGTTACCATCCTATCTCTCATTGTTCCCCTCATATATTCAATAAATACAATATGTTTGGTGCCACTGCTGATCTGCTGAGCCAGTCAGTGGCCGGCCCAGTGACTCAGACTTGGTCTCAGCTTCAAAAGAAGAATGATGATGTCTGTCTTTCTAGGTTTGAACCCCTCTGGTGAACAGCATCACAAATGTGGTACGGACCTTCAGTAATTACTGAAACAGCAGTTTGTCACAAGCTGCCTGCAGCAATGATGGACAATCTGCTGGTGGATATAGTTAGAGGAAGGAATATGCAAGAAAACATGATATTTGTGACAGGTTTAACTTGGATTTTTTTGTTTCAGGGGATGAAATGTACCTGTGGAGGCAGTTGATGAAGAGCTAGGTACCTATATTCATTAACTATTCTTTCCACCACTGTGGTATTTAATATATATGCAAAAAAATTACTCCAGTGTAAATAAGAATTTGGCCCAAGTAGCAGGGACAATTACATGAAATGCAATTTGTATCTCCTCAGAAGTTCATCTAAATAAGCAGTGTCCAAAACAAGTAGATTTAGCCCTTGAGGAAGAGGAGTTCTCCCTGCATATCCCAGACACCCTCCACAGTGGTCATTGAGGGGGTCATTGCGATGCTCAGAAAATATAAAAATCTCTTCCCCATTCCCCTGAGCCTTGTACCAGGCCCAAAGCTTACTGCAACATGCAGGCACTTCCCTGTGCTCTGTGAACCTGAAAAGAAAACCAATATAAAAGTCCTCCTCATGTGAAACAATTCTCTTTATTCTTTTTCTGCCCTAATCTTGTAGCACAATTGCAGTTCCAGAAATGACACAAAACACTCAAGCCCATGGATGGTGAGGTAAATTCAAGGTTGAGAGAAGATGAAAGAAAAAAATGATCTCTGAGCCTGATAGGCTTTGGAAGGAACTTTACAGGGAATCAGCACACCAAAGGATGCTGTTATGTGGGGAACCACGGGCCCAGCTGGCTGCAAAATTAGAAATCTAGAATTGAGAGGACAGAATTCACTGCTTAACCCCAGGCAAATTAACAGTGACTTTTGTTTCACAGCTTAATATTTAAACAATGTTGCTCCAATTAGTCAATGGAAGACATTTTGTTTTCTGTGAGATATACTCTTTCCTCTCCAAGTCAAGGAGGTTTGCTTCCAGGATTTTTTTTATTTTTTTTATTTTCTTTTTAACTAGATTGCTCGTGGCTCTAGGGTTAGCGGGTTTCCTTCAGAAACACCACAAACACTTCCGCTCCTCCACCCTTTATTGACTCAAACTTTCAAAATCCGTGTGCCCACATCCCCTAGCTTGTTATTTTGTGTGTTGCACTGCTGGAGAGTGCTCGTGTTTCCCCACAAAAGGCTCTCCGGTGCTGAGCTCTCGCATTTTGCCTCCGGAGCCCCGCGGCTGTGCTGCTGCAGGACCCCCGGCCGCGCTGCCCGAGCCTTCAGAGCCACAAACAACTCTCTCAAATACCCAGAGTGCCCAGAAGATGGAAACGTGCTGCCTTACGATTTCAGCCAGCAGCAGATGAACTCCGGACATAGTGACAGCCCACCCCTTGCTGAGCAAACCCGCTGAGCATCCTGAGCAATCCAGCCTTAGCCCCTGACCGCGTTCATCACAGTTATTTTGTTGTACTGTGAAGAATGCAGAGATCACTGTCCATGAAAAGCAGAGTTCAAAAGGCAGTATGGCACGGTGTCCATGTGCTGGCTGACACGTTTAACCCACAATTACCAGGCATGGGGTTTTCAGATTAAATTCCTGAGAAATTGCTTGGTTTTCAGGGGTTTCTCCCCCCTTTCTCCTCTTTGCCACTGAAGTAATAATTTTCAGTTGAATATTTTTATCTTTATCTGTAGTTTCCAGTGTTTTTAACAGTTCAACCCATTCCTCTCACCTCTACCCCTGCAGGTGCTCGTGGAAATTGAGACTTGCACCAGCCGTGTCTGTTGCCAGCAGGACTCAGCAGTGTCCCCAGCTCTGGTGAGGTACCAGTGTGTGGTGAGGCACAGTGATGGCATCCTGGGATACTAATGTATATGTCATGTAGTGTTTGTATGCAGCAAAGATTTTGGAGAGTAGAATACGGGGAATCTATTGTTTTCTTTAGAAACAGCTTTTCTCCTCTGTTGTCCCTTGACATCTGCCCCTCACAACAAGCTTGGGATGCGATGTGCCCTTCTCTCCCCTACAAATACCCTGCTCCTTTTCGACAAGGAGGATACTGACAGTACTGAGATCCCACTCAGTCTGCTTGCTTTTAGCAGCCCTACAAGAACAGGGAGGAAATTTTCCCTGCTCTCTGGAATAAGGTCCTCCATTACCATGTCACAAAAGAAAAGAGGCAGCTTGGTACCTAAGGAAAACTGCTGACTTTAAACCTGAGATAAGGCTCTATCATTTACACTAATGAGCTCACTGGTGGGGAATTTGTAAAATTTTATGATAAAAAGTAGCTGTAGTCAGTGTTTGATGGAATTTACTATTTTACATTTTTGCTGAAGATAGATATAACTACTAATAATTTACACATTCAAACCTAAATAAGAGCAGAAGAACTGTCCCAGTAGAAATTCAAAGATCTTGTAAGTAATCTATTATTATTATTATTATTTATTTATTTATTTATTTTAACCATGGGTTGAGTCAAAATTCTTCTGGGAAAGCCTATAGATACTTTTAACTGGTTGAATTACAAACAAGTTACTCAGAAGAAGCCCTTAATGAAACACTTATATTTCAGGATTTTAATTGTTTGTGACTTATGGTTACAAGTTCACCTCCCAGATCTGATAGTCCTGTCAGATTTGATTTCTGATAGAAGTGTGCCCTGGGATGCACCCTGGGGTAGCCCTGTGATGGTTTCTGAGCCGGGTACCACATATGCCCAGTAAGTGCAGTGAATAAGGGGAGGTATCTAATAGCCTTTGTTATTGTCGATTGTCAGAGCAGTAAATGACAAGTGTTCAGGAAAGCTCTCAGCTACTGTAGGTTACAAAGACCTAAACCATTCTGTTCTGAGCCAGAATAAATGAGTCTGGCTGGAGAGAGCAACTCTGCTATAAAACTAGCAAAAATGGAAGAAAACAAAGAGGTGAAAGTAAGCAAAGAAGAATAAAGATGTCTCTAGCTAAAGGACTGGAAAACTAACTCAGGTTGGCATCTGTGTACACTATGAATGAAATTACAGCAGGTTTTTCACCCTCTCTGTCGTTTTTTTCTTTTTTCCCCTCTGCTTACTCCATTTGAGGTGTTCAGCTGCCACATAATCACAGGTTCAACACCTGGAAAAGGTGGCCAGAGGTGCAATACAGGGCATGGGCTGTATTGCCTGTGAGCACTCACTGCTGCATGCAGACCAGAAATAAATCCTAATGAAATATTCCACGTGGTGATTGTCCCCCTGCTGCTGTGTTTTCTACCTGGGCCAGCTGTGTTTCTGCAGTGCTGTCTCAGTCACTTCACTCTCTGAACAATCGTGGATTCATGGCTTTAACTGATCCCTTTACCAGAGAAATTTGGGAAGGGCTGCTGGGGTGTGTGATAGGCACTAATCCCAGAGCAGGCATCGCCCAAAGGAAACAATGAGCATGGACACTTGGCTGTGGGTTTAATGCTGCCAAAAACAAAAGGACAGACAAAATAAAGTGTTTAGCAAACAGGAGAAAGGTGTGTGGAACGGATACATGAATGACAGCTGGTTTATGGGCTGTCACTGAGGTATTTTCCAATTCCATGAGCAAGCACTGGGAAAATGACAGACCAACAAAAAGGATCAGTGTGAGAGACTGCGAAGTGGCTGAGAAGCTGGTCTTCATGCAACTGATCAAAATTATTACAACATTTCAAGAACACATTGCATTTTCCATGAAAATATAGTCAAATCCATGGCTATTGTGTATCTTTGTCTTCATATGGTTCATCACAAGATTTTAATTGCCCAAAAGTCTGTCTACCTGTCTCCTTCCCTCCATCCTGCCATCCCTTTGTACCCAATACAGAAGTGCAAAAATGTTGCTCTTGCTGCTTTTCCCCAAGAGCAGCAGCCACTAGAGGGAAAGATGCACACGGAAAATTCCCTTCAGCATCTCTGGGGCTTTCTTCATAAGTAAAAAAAAAAATCAGAAATTTACCCAGCATTTGTAAGGTAGTCTGATTTATCCTTTCAGATAAAGTATGTTGAATGAGATTATTTTTAGTATTGCAGTTGCACTGTACATCATGAAACACAGCCAAAATTAAGGGCCAGGAAAAAAAAAATCATTGGCTAAATTACACAGAGGAGATTGGATTACCTGTTCAAACAAAGCTCTTAATTCTGTGTATAAATAGAATCCACAAGCACAAGTGCACTGCAGTAGAAAATAAAGCCAGCCAGCAGCCCCTAATAACCCTTAATTATTAGGAGTTTCAGTTAACATTTGGACAGCTTTGGTCTTAATTCTTTTAAGTTTGAAGAGGCAGCACAACCGAGGTGGCCCCATTTACAATTACATTGAGCACACACGCTGTTCCAGCCCGTGCTGGCTTTAGCTGAGCCTTCTCTGGCAGCTTGGGCTGGGATTTTGCCCTGTTAAAATATAATTACCTATCTGAACGGCAACTAGTTTCCAGTTTGAGTTATTCGTTTGTAACAATGCACTTGTTTTGACAGAAGTCTATGACAAGAAAAACAAATCAAGCTCCTGACCTTGGCATCATCGCTCACTTAGGAAATTTTTGTACCTGGAAGAAAATCTGCTGATATTCCATGCAAGTAATAAATTATCCGACATCATCAGTCAATACCATAATGTATGTCAATGCAAGTCAATGGCATAAGTAAATGTAGCTGTAAAACAGATATCTCAAGGTAAGACTGAAATCCAGTGTTACTTAAAAAAACCCAGAACTTGATAGTGCTATACTACGCATGGACATTTACAATTTTATAAACCAGAATGTTTAATATTTGTCTCAGGGATGGAGTTTTCAAATGCTCTTAGCAGAGAACTAATATTCTTTCCCATTTCTAAAGCTGCCCTATGTAATATATATGTGAGATCAGAAGTCAAATATTGTATTGCAGGCACACAGTAAAATGCAGCAGATGAAATTTATTTTGAAGTTATCTTAATAAGCTGTTTTGTTCCTCAAAATATACAAGCCCTACTACCTGTGTAGCCCAAGGAACCTTCAAAGTAGATAATTTGACATTAATTTCCTGCTGCAATCCCCACTTTGGTTAAGACTGTGTAACTCTTTCCCCTTTGACCTTCTGTTTGTAACTACATGTATCCATCAAAAATTCCCACTCCTGAGACTCGGGTTTGCCAAAAATGTGAACTGTAAAAGCTGAATTTTTATTTCAATGTTTTATCAGATTTTTTTTAACATTACAAAACACATGATGACTTAGGGTTGTTTGATATTCTCTAGCCAGAAGCAAGACCTAAAAGTGAAAATCGGAACTATTTTTCTGTAGAACAAAGTGCGTGGTTAATGTTGGGAAGCAACCTGATTTGATCAAATAAAATTACAGAAGGTGAAGACAGGAATATACACAAATTATCACCTGACAGCTGTTGTCAGGCATACACCTCAGAAAGCACAGGCACTCTCTGGCTGTCCATCCCTGGCCTGGTGCTATTCTCTCCTGGCCCCCAAACCTGTCTGTGCCATTTTATGGTTTTTCTCTGCTGAGTACAACCTGCACAGGCAGGCAAGTGGCACTGCAGGTCCCAGGCCCTTTTTATTCTACAGTGTGGAGCATTACAGATAATTCTGCTGGATGGCACCCTAGCAGTGCATCTGCTTCTGCTGTGCACTCTCTCAGTGAACTCAGCCTGCTCTTGATACCTTAATTGCTTGCTGTGGAAGCTGAAGGTGACACCATAAGCAAATCACCATAAATACATGAAAACCTTTCTTACAAGAGCAAATCAGATGGTTCTAGATAGAGCATTGGATGGATCAGCAAAAGCTGTTTTGTTCTAAATCTCATTTTCACACATCTTCAGACATTGTACAGAATCCCAGCAGATGCTTGGGAAGACAAGTATCTTAAGTTTATATGGGCATATATAAATCCCTGAATTGCTTTTTGCTGCTTATAGTTCATAAACTAATATAGCAGTGAACAAACTGCATTTTCAGAATTCTGAACAAACTGCATTTCATATAAGTTATCCAGTTATGGACCAGACCTTGCATCTCTTACTCAAGAAGGATTAAATCAAAAGGCAAGTAGTCTGTGAAAAGGTGAATTTATACACAGTGAGCTAAAGTCTTGCTAAATTATTCTCTTGAAGGAAATATAAAGGTTTCCAGTAGAATTCTCGGTACTTGTTTTCAGAGCAGCTTATGCTTATTCTCCTCAGAGACTTTATGAGTGAAGCTGAAGTTAAATGTGTAGCGAGACTGAGTTTTAAGGATGATTTTCCTACAACAGGATTAGGGCTCACTGACAGTGTAATGGAGGGCAGGTAATACTGCTGTTGCTTTGTGGCTAAACTATATTTTGGTTTCTACAGATAAAACTTCAGTACCTAAGAGCTTCACGATTGCTTCTGTAAGAGGTAAAAAAACAGATTATTTTGGTCTTACCATAGCTTTCTTTCTGGTACAAAATAAGCAACTCTCCCATGATCTGAGCAGGATAGTAACCAGTCCTGAACTGTTGCTTCAGGGACTTGATGAGGATAATTCAATTATTTTTTTTTTCCCTCCAGATTATTTCCAAGTTGTTTGGTTTTCTTTTTTTTTTTTTTTTTTTTTTCCTTTAACCTTGGGTGAAACATTAGGGGAGTTCTACAAACTCCTAGTCTGCAGGCAATCTGTCAATATTGAGGTCAGGTGAGTTACCACACAATGGACAGTTCACATATTTTCACCACATCCACAACAGTTTTTTCTTAAAAGCAAACACCAAAGAGCTCTGCTTGACAAATATATCCATTTCAAACTAACATCTGCAACATCTATTAGAGTTTGTTAATACCTTGATACCATTTCCATTGTATCTCAATGACCATTGTCCTCTTGGATCTCAATGACATTGACTAACAAGGCAGTTTGTAATTTGATGGTGTAATTTAATTCCTGTCCCTCTGTAAACACCTGGATTTGCAAATCTCCACTCTAGATGGAGAGCTCTTTGCCACACATCACTAATCATGCCACGTGCTTCTATATCCGTCCCCACATCCTCCTGCTGAGCACCTCTTCTTTGTGCCCAATATGAGTCAGAGACTGTTGGCAATACAGAAAGGATCAACACAACTGCCTAGCACTGCATGTGGCATTTAATGAAAATGAAGTCAGGTCTAATTTGCATGGCAGGTGTTACTTTATTACAGTCAGAGCTGCAGAAGCTGGATGCTACAGTGCTAGGCAAGTGTGCAAGAATGAAAGCTGCTGACAACGAGGGTGTCTGACACAGGAATCTTGGCACCCCCCTTGTCTGCCTGCCTACCTCCTGTGCGAGGTAAAGTGACAAATTTGTTCATTTATCCAGGTGCCCCTGTCCTGGTTCTTTCTGGTAACTCCACCCTCCAAGCCATTGGAGTAGCCAAGGAGCTTGGGGGTAGAAGGCCCA